ATCCCACAATTTGCTTGTTATCCAAAGGTTGCTTGTTTTATCTTCTTATAAAATAGGATTATAGGTATAATATAATCATCAACCATGCATTTTTATCAAACACATTTACTTTTTTTTTACATCAAACATGCCTTGTGTTTGAAAAAAAATGATCACCTTCGTATATCTCCTATTATCAATCGTCGATTTCTTACTTTTTGGATTCATTTAATTATCTCATTCGTCGTCGATTTTCCTACTTCTTCTCATGGGATTCGCTTAACTGGAATATCGACCAAGAGGAATGAGCCGATGTAACAGAGGTAAGACATGCAAGAGGGAAAAAGAAGGAATCTAAAGAAAGAGGGAGAGCGACCATGGACTGGAGATGGACTCGGACGGAAAGTCCTCGAGTGGGTCAGAGCCAATGAGCATTGGATATAGCCGATGCCGATGAAAGATTGATGATACCTGACAGACTAATTGTTATAGCTCTCATACCGGTGAAATATCTCGACAACTTCCAAAATTGAATGTTTAAACGGAATATTCGGGATTGAATTTGTATTAATTCGTTGAACTCACCCCTATTTCTAGATTGTCCTTACTTTTAGGTTGTTCTATCGAACTTTAGTTCCGGTTGTAGTTAGCATCAACTATAATTAGGCATTTAGAACTTTTATTCTTGCTAACACACAATTGATAATTAGCATTATTAGTTAATAACGACAATTAATAGTTAGTTAGCAGCAATTAGTAGTTAGTAAAACACAATAGCAACCTTTAGGAGAGGTATGTATATAAAAAGCGGGCATTTTTGTATTTTCACTATATTCCATACCATTAATTCTCACAAAAATAAACCTTATTCAGGAAATCATTCAATTTCCACAAGTCAATTCCTTGATTTTGTAAAACATTGAAATTCAGACAAATTTTCACGTTTTCAGATTTCCACATCCAAACGACCCCTAATAGTAATTATACAAATTATTTATTTGGTACCATGAAAGAAACAAAATTATTCAATTACTAAAAAAATAAAAAATAATAACATACATTATAAGTTTTACAACATCTTGATCATTCATAGACAAAAGTTGATATCAAAAGTAAACAACACAACTCATGCCTGTAACCAATTACTAAAAAAACTTAATATTCGAAACGTACTTCAATTTAATCTTTGATGTTAGAAATTAGCGCAAATTTCCTTTTGAATTTCTTTCTGGTTCCTCTGCCCTTAAAAGCATTTCCTCCTCACAGTTTATCTTTCATTAGTAAAACTTTATATTCACCATAATAATCTCTTCCTTCTCCTACATTTCATTGGAACCCATTATAATGGTTAAATGGTTGAAAATGTGAAACATCTTTTCATTGTGCTAGAATTTCACATCATATGAATCATAAATATTATCAATCATTCTCTTTTCTCACATCACATATATTTCTATATCCACCATCAATAATCTCTTTTTTTATTACAATAACGTCATTATCTCCATCACTAAATTCACCACCTTTAATATTATTCAAAAAATTTAGTAGCAAAATCTGTTGAATTGTGAAAACTCCATTTCCAAGAACTTAAGGCCCTGTTCACTTCCATTTTCGTTTCCTGTTTTCTGTTTTCATATTACAAATTTGGCAAACGAAACGAGAAAACATGTTTACTTTTCATTCTGTTTTCTATTCGTTTCCAACTCTGAAAACAGAAAGTGGCAGCTTCCTACTGTTTTTGAAAACGAAAAAATGTCGTTTTCACCTGTTTTCAACATCTGTTTTCTCAAAAACAGGAAACAGAAATGAAAGTAAACAAGGCCTAAATTTACCCAGTCTATGTCATGAACTTTGTTTGAGATTGCTCTTATTCATCATTTATTATCTTGAAAACTGTGTACCCACTTATGGAGGTTTGCGTCGTTGTAATTGCTGAGCTTCATATGAAACTTTAACTTCATGCTCTTGGTTTGTATGAGAAGAGGAGTTGAAAGTTCACTCATTTTGTCACTATCTTTGATTAGTTTCTCAATAATCATTCCAAAATATCTAGCTTCCTTATGATGCAGAACAATAAAGCTAGATTAAAACATGTTGTCTACAACTCACAACTAACCCTGAATCTGTAAAATATCAACAATTGATATGCATTATTTGGTCGAAAACTTTATATTTTATTGGGTATGTTGTTACCTAACTACTATTATCTTTGATGTTGCTGTATAATTCTTATAAAATTGCTCATCACATCCTTCTTCAACTTTTCTTTGACAAGTTACAATTAATGTGATTTTTCTAACTCATTTAAAATTTGAGTTGAAACGAATGAGATATTGTCTAAATTTGCGAGAAATTGAAAATTTCTTAACTATAGCTTTTGAGATTTGTGGCAGCTGTAACTAAAGGAGATTATGCACCAAAATTCTTGCACTTTTACTTGGCTATTTGAAGATCGCACTAGAACACTATTTTATCAATAAGAAGATTCTTTAATGTGAATATATTTTCTAGGCGTAGAATCAATAAATATTGTAAAAAAACTCAAAATAATAATGAAGCAGTTATAACATAACAAAATAATATGTTACTGTCAAAGCAAGTTTGATAAGAATTATCATCACACTAATATAATTTTCTCACTAATATTTGATCAAAACAAGCAAAGTTATGAAAAAAATAAAGCCAATGGAGTTGTGAGTTTCCTGCTATGCTAAAAGAAAACTATACAATACAAACCTAGATCTAAGATGGTATGATCTCATATTTTTTTTTATCGTTTCCCAGAAAAGAATATAAGAAAGAAATTATCTATCTATTGATTTTAAACTTTGAATTTCTATTCTCTAGGAGGAGATTGTGATCTAGATTTCATCACTCTAAGAGAAAACCAATACATAAAAGAAGAATTGAAGATTAAATTCATAAACCTCCTCACCATTGTCAATTCTCATTTACGCGTTGAATGAGAACTTTTTATTTGTATATGTTTTATGAAAAATCTCAAAACTTAACTTAGAATTGAAAAGTATTTGATTTTTTTAGTTAATTAATTAAGAATTAGTTAATTACAAAGTCATACATAAGAATTTGTGTCAAACACTTAATCTTATAGTAAAAGAAAATTAAATAAAAGACTAAGCCACACACATGACACGCACGACCTTATAATAAAAGAATTAATTAATAGTATAATAATTGGTTTAAAAATTTCCAACATTTTTTTTTTCATTAGCATAATTAACAAAGTCTTATTTTTGGGTATTTATTAATTAAAAAGACAAAAAAAACTTCCTGCCTAAATTCATTCAGAAAGCTGAATTTTTTTAATTAAACATATTTCTCAATTCTCATGGCGAACCTATTTATATTGGAAGTAGTTTCTATGCATAACCTTATGGTAAGTAACCATGTATAACCTAATCACCATCCGCCACATCAGCGCCTAGGGCTGGAAGTTTGGTACCAGTATTTGGGATATACCTAATACCGTACCGAATTTGTCTATATTTGGTATTACCGAATACACGTATTATTTTGTGGGATTGAGATTGTGATTGAATTTCAATTGTTATTCGGTAATAGGGATTACGGGATTGGGATCGGTATATACCGAAATACCGATCAATACCGAAATATAAGCTAGTATGTATTTTATCCTCTCAACTAGACTCTCTCATTCAATACTACGCGACCCTCAACCACCAAAAGTGTCATTTAATTATACATAGATCATTACATCACTATTTCACACTAGTATTAGTCGTCTCTCAACCTCAAATTCGTCAAATTAAAGATTACCAATTACAAGAACTTGAGATGTTAGCCCTAGGCAACTCAATTAAAGATTACCGAAATTATTTAGGGATTGAGAATGAGATTGATCATTTTAGGGTGTAATTCGGTATTTGGTATTGGGATACCGATACCGTACCGATTTCCACCCCTATCAGCGCCCCTTCTTTTTCTGGAAAACCTTTAACCTTTTCTCCCTTAATCTTTAACGGACGATTTTCACTCGTTTTCACTCGTTTTAAGTCGGACTTTAATTGTTTTTTGCAAAGTTAGATCATAGTAATTGTGCTCTTCAAAATGATATCCACTTTGATATATTTTTGAAAAAAACCCATTTCTTACCAGTATATATCATATGGTATTAACTGGTATTAAGTAAGAGCATACGATATGGTATGAAAAAGCACACCATCGTGGTATGAACATACCAAGACTATAGGATGATTGATTACATGATAGTAGGTAAATACTAATTGTCATTTACGACTTTCAACATTGTGTACCACGAGATACCACCCCATACCAGGGTGGTATTGTGTGATATTTTTTGGTTCTATATTTTGTTCAACCAGAAATTTGTAGATCCAATAAATAATGATAAACTTGTTCATTCTGTGCAAAATAAAAACGACTTAAAAACGAATAAGATACCATATATGGTATGCAGTTGGTAACGAGAGGCAAGAAATTTGTTTTCTCAAAAAATATTGAAAATGAATCTCATTTTGTAGAGCACAACGAACTCGTTCAATCTGTGCAAAACAAATAATTGAAATTCGAGTTAAAACGAAGAAGATATGAGCCAATTAAGAAAACAAGAAAAAATAAAAATACTTTTAATTCTCCACCTTTACATCTTGATTTTCTGGGTCCAATTAAATTTTGATAAATGAGATTTGGTTACTTAATTTGGTCTTTTATATTAGTGTTAAGGATGTTTCAATAAACTCCAGATAATCTGCAACACAATGAACTCTTTTTTTTTTTTTTTTTTTGTCATTCACATTGAATCTTACTTTCCCCACAAACATTGATTATTGGGCTAAAAAATAAGGCCAGTTAGGAACTCAAGCCCGGAGGTCCAAATCATAGCGTACTCATCAATGCGTCGGCTTTGGTTTTGGACCATTTATTAACCGGCAGCCCAAATAATCAAATGGCATCCCTGAGGCCCAAAATTTGGCCTTCCCCAGTCCTAGTCGCCGCGGCAGACGCAGAATCATGGCGGAAGCAGGATTCCCGCCCGGCCGCCACTCAAAGCTCCGGTTGAAAGCTCTTCAATCTTCTTTCGCTTTTTCCCTTTTCATGGTAATAATCACTTCACGATTTCCCTTTACCCCCCTTTCCCACTTCTCTTGTACGTTTAGTGGATTTGCTTTGTCGACTTTCGCCGGCATTCTGTTTTTACCTGTACAAGGGTATCGCTTAAAATGCACTGCGATGAGCAGTTCTCGTCTTTGCTTAGTGGAGTAAAAAACACCTAGCTTGAACGTTTCCTCGTCACTTGTTTTTTGTTTAATAATTCTTCCATCTTCATGGGTCCAGAATTTTCGATTCTGAGAAGGCTTTGCCTAAGATTCCCCTCCTCTGGGTTTCTGTCAAAGGATCAATCAATAGAGCCTAGTTCATGTGCGATTGAGAAAATTGAAAGCTTGCAGCATAGTATTGTAATTCTCTCTCCAAAGATGATAGGATTCCACCTTTGAGTATGATACTCATATGTTCTGTGAGCATTTTGACAAGATACATGCATTAAGTAGCACCAGTGCTAATTCTCCATTACCAAAGTTAACTAGCATTGTGGAACTACAATATCTTGTTTATTGTTTGTAACACGTGTCAAAACTATGGTGAACCTGAATTCTTGAATTTTCTAGTTGTTGAAGGGACGTAGTCCCAAGTGTCTCCTTGATGTGTCTAAATGGGTTGATATCCATGTTTGACACTTCTTTGCTGCAGAAGGAAGCTTTCTTGGAGGCATGGCACAGAGATATATTGGCCAAGTAAGAATCCCATAGGAGCTTCTTCTTGCTATATTATACTGTAAGTTGTTACACAACTTTTAGTTTTGGACATCAAAGCTTCCACCCTTTCTGTGATAATAAAAAACTGAACCACTTCACCTTCTCCTGTTTTCTTATCAGCAAATAACAAGAACAGAAAATCTCATGTGTAATTGTTAATGATAAGATAATCACTACAGGTTTGATAGTTGCTAACGGGGATTGCTGCCTTCATTATGAACAGTAGAACATGGATGAATTGTTCCTATCACCCCTATTAGCGTAGATGGAAGTAAGTTGCTTTTGTGGACAATCAGAAATCTTGGTTAGATTTTTGACAGTAGAATCTTGATGGATCTTTTTCTTGAGGAATCAATAACTTCTATTGGTGGGATGGATAATGCTGAATAGTATCACAAGTTGTTGTGGTCCATATAAGGAGGAGAGATTTTGGATAGAGTAGTGTGGACACCAGCTTCCGCCGAAAATAAAAGGTTGAAAAAATTCCCCATTCTAGAGTCCCATCCCCATCTCTACGGGCTAAGAGAAGGAGAGAACCGATTTTGACATGGAACATAGAAACTTTGAACAATTCTCTTTCATATGCTGTCACTTCTTTACAACTTTGTGAATCTGAAGCTGTTCCCCTTCTTTCTTTCTTTCTTGCCTGTCCTTGTTGTAGTGTTCCCTCTACTTGCTTTAATTTATGTGTGTATTGACTCAGTTTCAGTTTGCTTTGCTCAAAGGTGAAAGCTTTTTTATTTATTTATTTTTCTGAAGTCGTTGACATGGTGCCAATATGTACATCTGTTTGGGAATGCGATGTCTATTTGTCCACATGTATGTTTTGTAGTTGCATACAGAATATAGTTTGCTTTGTGCGTACGGCATATGGCTGGAACCGGAAGCTACAAAATTTTCAAGTAGGAGAGGGTAGTTGCTGCCCACCATACTGTTTTCACATCTCAATGAACTCAGCAGTATGCAGGACAAGCAAGCAACCCTCTCCAGTAGGCAAAACACATGCCCTTTTAAAAATACTATCCAACTCAACTTATTTGGTGTCTAGATAGTTTTCCTTTCAAGGCAGAAATTAGTTGCATGAGTTTCCACAACTGCCATGGGGTTGGAGTTGTTTTGGGACTGTTCCCCCATATTGTAGAGCTAGCTAGCTAGCTAGTAACACCTACTTGGGTAGAGGGTTAGGCAACATCGGGCTGACTGAATTGGATCATTCGGTTTTCAATTCTCAAATTCATCTACTTTTTGTGTTTTCGATCTATGGATTCCCGAAATGCCCTCATCGTCTCTGATCATTTCGAAAGCGCCCCTCATCATCTAACGGTTCAGAGAAAGGCCTGCATGGTCTGGCGTAGTCGAATGGGAAAGAACAACTGGGGTTATTTATGTTGGTTAGCTGGGAGATTCTTAGGCTGGTGAAGGAAGAGGTAGCTTGTGGAGATTGAATGGGCTTTAATTAGGGTTGATATATTGATAGACCACAGTCTGCATATTTCATATTGCATCTGCAACTGTTGGTGGTTGTGATAGAGGAGAGGAGAGGAGGGGGCCATGTGAGCATTGATAATTCAAGGGACCCATTAGCATGAACTATTTCTTTTTGTAGAGGGTTAGATTGGTATTTGTTGATAAGAAGAGAAAGCAAATTGCTTTGAATGTGGGTCTATCAGCTTAAAATATAGTGCAGATGTCCTTGTTGCAGAGATACCAAGCAACCCCTTTCTCTGAGGAACTTGAATTTGTCCAAAGAAAACTGCATTTAAAGGAGTGGGGTTTGTCCAGGGAAAGAGTCAATATTCCACATTGTGTATGGTAATTGTATTAGTCTGGTGGTACCTGATATGCCGTTAATATGCATTACTCGACTAAATGTCATTAAGAATTATCATAATTTCCTGCTGTATTCTTGGCCTATTTAAAGATGATAATTTTATATCAAGGGACCAAACTGTCCCTTTGTGCTGTAGGGATTTGTGGATGGTTGAGTACTGGTATTAGGCTTGTTTGTTTTGTGGGATCTAAGGATGATGAGATGGGAAAGGAATAGAGAATTTGGAATTGCTAGAAGAAAGGGAAATGAATTAGTGATTGACCTTGAAAGGTTGTTCCTTTTGATCTCTCTTTGGCTTTGCTTCTTCTTGGTGGTGTGTGCGTGTGGTCGACTTTGAGGGGCTGCCCACGTGATTGACAAATCCATGGGAGGAGTTCCACAAGTCAGCAATCCACAACCCAACCCGAACCAATCCTCTCTCTACTTTTTGGGTGAATAACTTTATAGTCCCTGTACTATGTTATTGTAGCAAACAAGTCCATATACCATGTTTATCTATTTCTAGTTCATTTCTTCTAAACCCTTTAAGGAAAACATGTTTAGCAAGCTCGTCCTTATAACTCAAACCAACATGTTTTAGAATAGATGGTGCTGTACGTGGACATATCAACGTAATATTGTGGACCAAAAGTGTTATTAACCCATTTTTCTATCTGCCATGAAAGTGAAACTCCATTTACTTATTCATTATATATAGAAAAAGTGACGTGAAGAACTCCAACAGCATTTAGGCCCCCCTTCCTAAACCTACTGTCACAAGAAACTCTGGTCGGCTTATTATTAGAGCTTTGATCTTTCATATCATTACAATATACTTATTATTATTATCTCATCATTATACATCAAACTATAAATTAATTATCTTTTTTGTTGCCCCCACTCCCCCTGTTATAGCATGCCAATTAGCACATCATCCCCACATAATCAAGGTTTACTAATTGCCGCCCATTGACTATCCAGCGTCCACTTGGCCATCTCTCATTTGCTCCCCTACCCCCTGTGACATCATCCTTGTATACATAGTTTGTGTAAGCTGACAACCTAACTTACAAGTTTTGTGTTTTTCTATAATTTCACCATTTTCATGAGGGCTAAGTTATCACTTAACTTTTGTCTTGCATTAGTTTATGAAAGTTAAAAACATAGTTTATGAAAGTTTCTTAACTTATTAAATCTTTGATTTGGATGGGTGAGTCAACCATATCATATCATACCTTAACTTAATTAGGTTACTAAACACCCTTCCTCCCCACCTGCAGCTGCATGTTTGTGTGATTAGGAGCTAAGCCGTATTGTATTGCTTGGTAGAGAGAGTTTTGCTACACTTACGATCTTATTCTGCTCGAACTAGGTTGGTTCATCAAACGAGTTGTAAAGAAGAGAAAAGGAACTGAAAAATGTTGTCTTTTTTGTCTGAGTTTTGGTTCTAGATTAAAGTCAAAGCTGCAAGCATTGGAAACTAGTTTGCAGAATCACATTCTTACAAAACACACACAGGAAAGAGTCACTTTTATGGTTCTGCTGCTGCTGGAAAGTAATTTGATAAAAATGTGTTTTTACTTAAACTTAATAAAAAGGGTTCTCTTGCAAGCATAATACAAAGAGACATAAATCAATCTACACACACTTCCACAAGTAAAAGTCATAGTAACTTTGGATTCCAGGTCGTGTTCAGATGCTTCCCTTGCCAAAGACTCAATCTTCTTTTTCTTCTCCCCAAGTTCTTTACTTTAACACACAATAACATCAAATATTTAAGTTATGAATATATTTATTTATTACTCGTTCAAGTCTCCATGTTCCAACCTACCAGTCTCGAAATTTGAATTTCTTGTTAACCCTGTTCCCCGCAACAAACATACCATATTATGTTTCTTCTTATTATTCTCAAGAGTTTGACATTATTAATATTAGCCGCAGCAGCCAAAACCCACCCAAAAAAAGATTTTGCAGATATCTATGAACTGCTGCAAGAAAGAATGTCTGTTTTTCCCCCTTCCTCTGAGATTCTTCCACCCTCACTGCTACTGCTACTACAGTTCTCCAGTTGCATGCAATTGAGTGTCTTTCAAGCTTTTCTGATACCATCTACATAGAGATTCGAGAGATTGAAGAATTTGGTTCTCCCTAGTTAAATAAATGTACAATTTGCTTTCCCCACAAGTTTCCTCCCTTCTGCTGCATGTGGAAGTTTAGTGAAGCTGACTTGCAGCAATCTTTTGCCTAAAAGAATGACATTCCCGTATTCTGATGCTAAGCTGCTTGAGGGTTTCTCATTCTTGACAATGTTCCTCCCAAAAAGAGGACTTTTCTTTTCGTGCAGCCCTTTAGGTAAAGTGTGTGAATTTCGCACGCTCATGCGGCTGTTGGAATCAGAGATAACGTAAGCCTTACACAATCCCTGACCAAGTTCAGCTCCAAAACCACCATATTGTGTCATATGCATGAAAGTAAATAACACAGACTAATAGATGGGTGAAGTTCTGGTTTTGATTACATTCATAACTGATCTGATTAACAGTTAACTTAACAATGCTGTCTAGAGACTGATTTTCATTAGTACATGGGGGGAATCAAATGAACAAACTCAAGATAAGTTACTTCTGAAACTAGAAATAAGCCTTGGGATGGATGTTTACTGATACAGAGAACTGGAAACAGGGTAATTCTGAAGTGGGTGGCAAGTGAAAAAAAGAGAGGGTCTTTCTATGGTTTTCTCCTGAAATAAGGAAAACTGTTGTGGCAATTGCTACTGCTGTGTTCTTCTTCTTCTTCATGCTCTTTTGGTTCATCACTGGAAACCTCTGTGATTCCACTTGATCCCGAAGATGATCCACATGGAACAACATTCAAATCCCTTGTACTACTGCTGTCCTTTCTCATGAAGTCGTAGAACACAACCTTTCTAGTAGTAGGAGTGGTAGTCCCAGTTTTGGGGTTAGGGGAAGGAATGATTATCCCATTTTTCTGGTCCCCAATTTGAATGCAGCTTCTGGTTTCCTCCTCGTTTTTGTTGTTGGCTCCCCTCTTCTTCAAAAAAATCCGGCACAAAACCCAGTTCTCCATTGGCACAACAGAGCTCTGCAACAAGGAAAAAGAATTGCAGATATGGTTTAAACTAATGCATTTCCCATTTCTCCAGTTCATGCATAAGGTTGAGGCTTTTTTGCCTTCTCATTTTGAAAACCCAATTTACCTGATGAGTTGAGATGTTGTTGTTGTTGTTGGCGAGAGTAGTATTTTCAGGAGTAAGCAGGCGGTACTCATGCATGATCCAATCGGTTCTAGTTCCATGGGGAGGCTTCCCTCTGTAAAAAACCAGGGTCTTCTTCATCCCCACAGCATAATTCCCTTTGGAAGCCAGAACTTGCTTGTCGATCCCTGTGGCCTTCCAGTAACCCGAGGCAGTCGCTCTATTCGAACGGTTCCCATTCGGGTACTTGGCCTCCTTGGTGCTGAAGAAGTACCTCTCTTGCTGCAAATCCCCTGCCACAAGACAGAAACAGAGCACGGTCAGTACTTGATCACGAAAACGTTTGGTTCCCCCCAACCTCTAATTGAGGCTGCTCATCTATCTTATCCTTGTTTAATTATACGAATGAACATGTGTTTTTTGAGCTGACCTGGCAGGTCCCAGGGATCGGATTTGCAGACGTCGACTTCAGGGATAATGGAGGCCGGCAAAGGGAAGGAGTAGGCTTTCCTCCTCAGGTACTGAACAACGAGTTCTTCGTCAGTCGGGTGGAATCTGAAGCCAGGTGGCAGCCTCAGGACGCCATTCTTCACGAAGCTGTGCTTCTCCATATTTGACTTCCAGAGAGGGGAAAAGGGTAGCTGGGAAAGGAATGGGTAAAGCTCCCAACTTTAAGACAGAAACAGGGGGGAAGGGAAGGGAAGGGAAGGAAAGGAAGAGAGGGTTGTGGAAGATGGTTGAGAGGGAAAGTGTGGGGAAGGGGTTCTTTATAGGAAGGAATGGGTGACGGAGGAAGAAGGGAAGAGAAATGGGAGAATCAGAAGAAAGGGAAGAAAGAAGGAATCAAAGCCTCCATCTCTCTCTCTCTCTCTCTCTCTCTTCTGTGGCCAAATTGGGGGGGCTTGGCGTGAACCAGACTCAAGCTCTTTCCTTCCTTGTTTTGACGCTATTTGTCTCCCAAAGAAACGTTCATGGGTGTCCTTCAATCGGTTAATTTTGGGTATTTTTGGCGCCCTCCTTGAAATCCTTCCCCTTAAACGCACTAACCACATCAATAATCCATTCTCTTCTTCTTCCTCTTCTTTGTTTGTTTATTGTTCCTTCCTTTACTTCTTCTTTGGTTAACCGTCTGGTTGATGATTAGCTATGACGGTTTAGTTTGAATTTAACCCTTTTATTATAGTTCTAGTTATTCTCTTATGGGTCATTATGATATTTCGTTTTACTTCTTTCCACATTAAAATACACAAACAATAACATAAAAAAAAGGAGATTAATGGTTCAATACCCGCATTTTCATCCCTAAAAATAATATTGGTTTAAGTGCACATTTAGGATACAATCGATGAATACAGTTTAAGCATTATAGATAATTTGAATGTGGGAATTGGGTCTAGATTAAATCTCCAATTTGCATAATTTAACTCAAATACTCGTGTTTGGCTTGCTTATAAAAATGTGTGGAGATTTGGATTTACATTCACACCACATCTCTTTCTTTTTCGAATGTTTTGAACCCAAATCACACATTTATAAAAATCTCATCCTAGCCTAAGGCGTGTGAAAATGTGCGAACATGATTTTTGAAATGTTCACTTTATTAGATAGTTTTGTCAACTATTTACCATTTGAGTATTTCACCTATATTTTTTTCGGTTTTGAGTTGTGACATTCTCTTACTTTCCAAAATTAACATGGGGAACCAATTATAAAATGCTTTTTCGACGATTCTTTAAACTTATTTTGATCTGTTTTTACGTATTTACTTATGGTCAGTGGCGGAGCCAACTTAGGATAGTGTGGGTCCCGGGCTTAGATTAAGACACCAAAAAAATATGATATTTGTACACAATCCGCAATACCCAAACCAAATACTTCATGTGCACTAGTTTTACTTGTCTACCATTAGATTATAGAGAACAGTGTGATACACATTAACCTTGCATATTAAGTAAATAACTCTTAATTTAACATGAAATTGTTCTATAACTATTAGTTTTGAGTTTGCTAATTCCTAATTTAGTGTCTAATTCTCCATTCTCAAATAAACATCAATCGACAAACTATGAAAATATGTCATGGGTTATTTAAATATTAATAAAATTTATGTTATATGTTTTAATTTTTTTTCGTTGGACCCCATCTTAATTGAAATCCCAGCTACACCACTGTCCACTGCTTGTCTGTGATGCAATGGTTAACAACAAATAGATATCTCTATTTATATAATTGAAGTTAGAGTATTTGTGCTCATTTTCTTATTTTACTTATCCTGATTATATTATTTGGACGGTGCAGAGGGCAATTTGGTACGGGCACGCAATGTTCCCAGGGGGGGCAATCTGGTCTTTCGATATCCTACAACGACGAAAAGGAACAAAATAAAATTATTTTGGGGTTACTGAAATGGTAATGTACGGTTGGTAGGTACAAAAGGGAAGTCCAAGCAGGGGGTTTGTACAGTAATTTGACTCTTCGCAATTAAACAAAGAGCTGTGAAGTCAGCTTTTGTCATGCTTACAGGCGCTGTACCAACGTCGTCAACCCGCGGGTTGACTCGGAACCGGTCGAGTTAGTGGGTTAAGGGTTAATGGGATAATTGTTTTAGTCCGGTTTGGCCCGAAAATATGAAAAAAGTCATTATATTGTACTTATCTTCATAAATTATATCAAATTTTATCTAACATATGAGTTATAATATATCATATTACACCAAAATAACATATCGTACTTAGATCCAACATATAGTGAAAATTCACACACACTTATATAACATCAATATTCAAATGTTCAATTTAGGATTTCGCAAAAAAAAAAAAAATGACACAATTTGACCTCCAACCCGGTACCTTATAGCGGTCGACCCGGCGGGTGCGTACGATTGGGCCGAAATGGTGGGGAGGGGGAAAATGAAAAGTGGATATTTGAAAGGTAAAATATTAAATTTTATTCAATAAAAAGTGAAATAAAAATAAAAAGTCAACAAGAAATTAGTGGGCAGCCTAGATACAATCTGGGCTCCCACTCCCTTAGCGACAACAAAGCTAAGTCTAGTGAAAATATACGCGGCCGCCCGAGTCCCCGCATCCTGAGACACAGAGAATTTTTGGATGCGCTTAAGCAAAGCAACAACATCCGAACCCACCTCCCCCAGCGAAGAGAAAGAAAAGGGCAGGAACCCGTAGCCAGCCGCCATGCACCAGTCCCGATACTTAGCACACTTTCGCCGAGCGGCATCAACTACAACTCGGCCGGGCACAAAATCGGTCATCCCAGTCCGAGTCAAAGGGGAAGACCCAGTCAGATCAATACACACATCTCGCCCCCCTATCCCAGGAATAAAGCAGCAAATCCGCAGGACGAAGGGGTCTGCCATGCCCATCAACCAAACCGATATCAACCTCCTTTCCGACAGAAATCCCAGACCTGCAACAAATGTCCAGTAAGGTGTCTCGAACGAGGTTATGCCAATGCTTAATGCCCACAATACCAGCACAGGACACAACATGATCTCCAAAGATAAATTGTCCTCCTCGTCATTTTTGTTTACTAATTTGCTACACGTATAATTAAAGAGATCTAGCTAAAAGTGGATATTTGAAAGATATACACGTATAATTAAAGAGACCTAGCTATATATTTACGAATACAATGTTACTTAAGCTGAACATTAAGTTTAATGAATATCATCATCATCTCAATCTCAATCTCATCAGTAATTCCAGGCAGCCAACGTAGTTATCCTTTTGCCTAGTACCAACACCATACATATATATTATCTCTCTCTAGTCAATCATTAGAAAATTTGGATCCTTTCTATCTTATAGCTAGCTATCTATATACTAATTAACGGCCGGCCGGCGACCATTTTGTCTTGTTTTATATCATGTATGTATACTTGTTAGTACGTACGTAGTCAATGATCTCGTGTTGTGAAACATATGACGAAAACTTCAATGAAGGTTCTAAAATAAAACAATAATAATAATAATAATTATTATTATTATAAGAAGGAAGGCTAGCTAGCTTGCTTACTCGATCTCCCCCTGCTTCATATCCACAAGGTAAGCTCATAGCTTTTATCGATGACAAAGGAAGACAACAAAATCAGGCGAGAACAATGAAAAAGAAGTGTGGATTTTAGTTTAATTTCCTCGATGGAAACGATACTATATACATGAATAAACTAGTTAGGGGAGATGTTCGAGAGAGAGTGTTAGGTTTGTAAGAGGAAATGCAAACATAGCAAAGTTCTAGGAGTATAGTATACTTGTTAGATGTATTTCGATAATTTCTGACCAATTTTAACGGTCTATTGGTGTTTTCTATAAATTTGAATTTTGGGTTTGGGTTTATCGAATTCGGGTCTAGGGTTTATCAATTAGTAATTAGGGTATAGTACCATACATCAAATTTGATTTAATTCATGGTTTAGATAAAGAGTACATGAAGTATCATACACTCCAGGAGTATATATACTATACTCAATTTATTGTCAAATTATATTATTCAATTCACAAATATATATTCATGGGTCAGATTGGTGTACTCGTAGAGTATACTATACTCCAGATACTTCTAGTGAGATATTTCTATTTAGATCGCGAATTTAACCGATTTTGGGTATTGTGGCAAGCAGTGGCGTAGCCAAAATTTTCATTCAAGGGGGGGTGCATTATAAAAGATAACCTAAAATAATTTTTGAACAATCACACATTATATCATGTTTCATATTATCATATTATTTTAAAACTACATATTATTCAAATTATTAAGATTGCTCTTAATGTTATCTCACTATATTATCATTCCTAATTTCGATTCACTCTATTAGGAGGGTTAACTATTCCATTGCAGAAAATATTCTACTAACATGTGTATTGAAAACAGATAGTAGCAAACTAAACCTAATTTCAGAAGCACATACATTGATGGGAACTAATTTTTTCTTCCGACTATCGTTATCATAGAAAGTTATTGATTTTCTCTAATAATCCGCAAGTCATACCCATCTTGATAAACTATATTAATAGAAATATTAGTAGGTTAAGTTAATTTTATATAATCAATCGTGGTTGGATACTATAAATTTGCCAATTAACAATGAGATTTGGGGTTCTTTGTTCATTATTGGTATATTAATACTACTAGTTTTTTGTGATTTCTCCAAATTAAGGAGGTGCCGTGGAACCCCCTAACAATGGACTATCTCCGCCCCTGACCGTGAGCTAGTCCAATTTAATAGAAACTAATAAATAATCGTTGAGATTGGCCGAAACTCATCAAAATACATCTAATCATCAAAATACTATACTCCTAAAATATAGGAATACTATTCTTTAGTATATTATATATTATTTGTGTGTGGGTGGCGGATCTTTCAGAATAGAAATGAATGAATACAATGGTGGCGCCTGCCGCTAGCGCGCTTGGCGCCGGCGCCGTCTCCTTAACGCAAGCAAGTCACTAGGAGGAAATTATACGTCCAGCTAGCAAGCTAAGACTATCTGGAAGGAACCATATCTTTGATAAAATCCCTAATTCGATATCTTCATTCTTCAAACGCAACCTACATATTCATTTCCAGACCCCGCCGTCAACTTTTTTTTTTCTTTAGCAGCTCGAAGCAATGGTCCGGTCCGTACCGGATCATATCAAATCGATGTTTAGATTGGACCATATTAAACCGAGAAAGACTGATTTGAATTGTCGTAATTGGGAGAGGGGGGCTTAAAGTCTTGTCTGGCTATTCTAATTCATAAATTTGTGCAAATTCTACATGTAAATTTATCTACAATTCAAGTCCCCCTAGCTTCAATCTAGCTCCACCACTGGTCCTATGAATTTTATAATTACTAAATAAAACATGGATCGAATTGATGATATTTGGACTGAACCGAATGCAATGATGGTCCGGTCCTTCTTCCAAAGATAACTTTCACTAAAGAACCGTGGTACTCATGAGTTTGGTCTGGCCCTGACCGGACCGAACCGTTGCACACCCCTAACTAGAACTGACAAATGTTAATTAGGATAATTGATTATATTGTTCACATAGTCTAGACTAGTAGCAAAATGGTTATAAATGTTCAAAATGGAACAAAATCAAGATATAATAAAAACAACTACTACATATATTTTCATTCATATTTCCATCCAAACAATTTCATAACAAATATTTATAGAATTTTAATTGTATCAAATATAGTAGAATTTGATTAGTACACATGCCCTCCCAATTCCCATCATTCCCCACCCCAGAAAACCTTCATTGTTGTGTTAATCATTGTAATTTCAACAATGCAATAACTCCTCGTATGTTGGTGTTGTGAAACTATAAGACATACATCTCCTGCATTCCAGCTTAATTAATTTATTAATTCTTCTTGTTAGATATTCATCAACAATATTAATGCATGTGGCTCAACATTTGTTTATGCAAATGAATATTAATTTATACTCTTCTCTCTCTCTCTCTCTCTCTCTCTCTCTCTAGATGCTAAAAACTGTGAAGCTTCGTTGAGAGGCTAATATGAGGACATTCACTCTTTAAACTGGGAATTATCTATGCTTTTTCTACGGTACGTACGTACGTACGTACGTACTCACGAGTACGTTAATTAATTAAGTGTGAGCTTTGTTTAACCTTGATGATTAAATTTTTTAACAAGCTAGGTCGATGAAATCAAGAAAATTCAAGGCGAATACATAGGAAAAAGGGAACATATATAATATGCAATTGCGCACGTACGGCCATTCTTGTTAATATCCATGTAATGTTACAATTTATGAAGGATTGTAGAATACAATAAATTCCTTTCTCTTGTCGTGTTTTGCAACACAACTGTTATAGATAGAAACTGACATGTCGCCGGTTCTAGGAATATTATCACAGGGTGGTTGTTATTTACTATGCTTTAGGGCTATGGCGCTGATACCGGCGTACGGCATGAATGCGTTTTTTTTTTTTTTTTGGTTTTTTAACGTTCGTATAGATACGTCTATACCTAAGGTTATGAAAATACGCAAGTAAAAACGCGAGAAATGTCAAGGACCGAACTACAGAAAATAAACATTCTTTACTATTTATACTACATGATTTACAGACTATAGTGTAAGTGCGACTATGAGAGAACAACTAACTGCATAAGTGAGTTACTACAACGTAACTTGGCAGAAGAACCAACAAACAGTAAAGAAATTTGACATTGTTGGTTCTTCTGTCAAGTTACAAATATTAGTTCAATACAACTATTTATGAAAAAAAAAAAAAAAGTTGTTCTTGTACTTTGAACCCCTTGCAACTAACAAAGGAAATGCTATTATTGATTGCCATACACTATATCTCAAGTTTTTTATTAATTAAAATATCCACTGAATTTGCACAATAATCAAATTCCAGTGAAACCCAGTTTACTCAATTCCATCAAAATCATAATAAGCATGGTTCCTTTTCTGACGCATTTCTTCTACACTGAGAATATGACCATTATGGTATGGATGATATATGATAGATGTCCCAGATTAAAATATATTGACGAATTAGCTCAATTTTTTTCCAAGCAATTGGATGCGCTCAATTGACGGTGAAAATAAAAATGATTAATATTCGTCAATTTATTTGTTTCTTAAACTGCTAGCACTGATTTTATCGATTTCAATTGTAAGTATTGGAAGAGCTTTTTCAAATTCATGCTACATGGAGAACAAACTTCATAATCACATATTCAATTTGTTCGTGAATGATCGTGTAGTGAAGAATATGGAAACATGTTTGTTGAAAACTAAAAAACAGTGGGTGTATTTTCAAAACATGAAAACATATTATGTTGTGTTGTAACTTATATAAGTCGGATATTTTTTAAAAAAGTAAATATTATAATTTTGTTAATTTAATTTTGTGCAAGTACACCTCTTAATAGAAAGTAAACTAACTTGAAGCCATGGTTAATTATGTTGAATGATTTAATTCAAAACTATTTAGGCAGTTAAACTAACTTTAAGACTCTGGTTAACTACGATCAGTATTTAATGAGTACAAATAATGGATGATTGATCACATTTAGGAATGACAATGGAGCGGACTTTAGATGAGTTTTGGTAAACCATCATCATCGTCCCCCATCTTCGATTCACAAACACATGCCCTCCTCATCCCCTTAAGGATGGAAATATTTTGTCATCATCCCCATCCCGCGATTTTCAAATACCTATGGATAATTCCCACCCCACAAATTCAAACCGAATTCAACTAAGCAAATAATATAATTAAGTTAAATACACTTATAATTTTTAGATCTAGAACGTTCAAAAAATATTATATATCATAAACTAACCTCATAATTTCTTAGACCTAGATCCATGGTAATGTGTTTTTTTGTATTTCGTAATACAATGATGTATTTGTTAAAATAATACAGTATAGGGGCTAAATGTGTTATTAACCCCAGAACAGAAATGATGATATATATTAAAGGGAGTGGTTGTAGTTGTAGATGAAAAATGTAAAAATGGAAGTGTGGTACCTAGTTAACGTGGGACAGTTGGGATTTAGTTAAACTGGAACCTCAAACATCGGAAAATCAAGACAAGACATGATACCGTATAGACAAGGAGAACCTTCATTTCCACACAAAATGAAAATAGTGGGGGAAAACTTAATATCTATTCTCATTAATGATGCGCCAAAGGTCACATAGTCCAATTGGTGCGAGTATGGGGAAAAAGTGACGACTTGAGAGAGGCAGCTCTCAGGTTTGATCCTCCAAGCCAACAGATGGGTGTTTTCGGAGGCACAATGGGATCCTAGTGATAGGCCTTCGCAAAGCGAGGTAAGCTCAAATAAGTGAACCCCAGATTTAGTAGACCTTGCTGTCACAAAGTGGCACGCGGGGTTGAGGTTCATGAGTTATAAAAAATAAAAAAATGAAAGCGCCAAAAATTTAAAACGAATTAAATGAAATACGAGGATATTGGATTGGGATTTAGCTAGCTAGCAATGATTAATTGCAAGTTGTAAGAGTATGGATTTGGATTTTGGAGAGACGGAAGAAATAAAGAGGAAGAGATTTGGAGGATTAATGGATTTCATATCAGATAGATCCCCACAAGCAATTAGCAAATGGTGAAAAGAAAGCCCACTTGCGTTACCATATGGGTGTATACAAAGAAAAGTTTAGAGCTTTCGTCAAGCCAAATTGCGGCTGGTGATGATATTGATATTTCTTGCTACTGTGTGAGCATTAGGGATGAAAATTCTACCTACAATTGCTGATATATATAGGATGCTTTTTTAGGCTGTTAAGGCGAGAAAATTGTAGAATTAATTGAGACATGACGAAATTCGTAATCAAAATTTTGATGATGGGTTGATGAAGGGTTTAGGCGTCCTGCCTAATTAGAACACTTAACATCTCTTCTTCTAAACGAAACGTTTAGGCATCCGACTGGTGAGTTACTATTTTGAACAGCATATTTTTGCTTACCAATTTTTTTATTTTGTTATAATTTTGGTTTTTTGGCTGGAACTAAGGGGAGGGTCAAAATGAGTTTGCGTGTGGGTGTTGAGGAGGGTTTTAAGGAGTAAGGAAGAAACGTCAAAAGCAGCAATCATCGTCTTTTGAGTAAAATATTGTGTTGTGTGGAAAATGTCCTTGTGGGTTGTGTCTCAAACCAATTAACCCTCTTATCTCTGAATTATCATTATCATAAAGTTAAAAAGGAAGAAATTAAGAAAGTGGTCATGTTTTGGGTTTATTGGGTTGAGGCTGTCTTTCCCCTTTTCCACCATTTCATTTTCATGTCTTCCTCCGTGGGGGTTGTCTTTGTGTTAATGAATTATAATACTACCCAAAGCCTTGTTGGAGTTGCCTTCTTCACAAGCATTTCAATAGCAAGGAATTGGACTTACACATACATATACATTACTCACTCATAATTGAAAAGAGAGAAAAAGAGGGACAAATTTTGGTAAGTTCGTAAATGGAAAGGATTAAAATTGTATCGTACCTACTGTTATCATAGACAAATCCGGAATAGTACAAGCAACACAGTGGTAAATTAAAAGATCGGCTTAATTGCAAGTTTGGTCACCCGAATTGCTTAAAAATTTCACGTTTGCCACCCGAATTGATTTATTCCATTTATAGTCACTCGAATTAGTTCAACAGTCCAAGTTCGGTCACTCTCCGTTAACCTCCGTTAGACTCCGTTAATGACGGCCGTTAAGTGATGACGTGGCTAACAGAAATACACAGTCAGCACTTTTAAACATTAAAAAAAGACGACCCGACCCGACCCAACCCGCCAACTCAGCCTTACCCGCCAACTCAGCCTTACTTGCCCAACCCAAGAACCAACCCAATTAATTCACCCTAAACCCAGACCCGAGACCCAACCCCCCTAAAAATTAAATCGCAAATGGATTAGGGAAATTCCCTAACTCCATCTTCATCCTCTCACCCGCGACTGCTGTTCTTAACTCCATCTTCTTCGTCGGTCATTCTTTTAGGGTTTTCCCGCTTTTGCTCCCGCCGTTTATAGTCTCTTCTGCTCTCTCCAACATGGAGCTCCAATCGCTCTTCGGAATCGATTCCCTCCTCCAATCTCTCCTCGAAAATGGCCTCCACAAGCAGCAGCCAAACACCTCCTCCTCCATTTGCACACGACGTTTTCCTGAGCTTTCGCGGCGCCGACACTCGTCACGGCTTCACAGCCCACCTCTACGGAGCCCTAATTCGGAGAGGAATCAACGCGTACAGAGACGACAACGAGCTGGCCAGAGGGGAGACCATCGAGCCGTCGCTCCTCCGCGCAATTGAATGTTCGAGATTCTCCATCGTCGTGTTCTCCAGAGGCTACGCGGAATCTCCCTGGTGCCTGGACGAATTGGCGAAGATTGTCGATTGCAGGCGGCGGCTGGGGCAGGTTGTTCTGCCTGTGTTTTACGATGTCGATCCCATGGTTGTGGCTGAACTGAATGGAGAGTACGGCGAAGCACTGAATCGGCACTGTTGTGGAGATAGTGCGGGGAAGGTGGAGAAATGGAAAGAGGCTCTTGAAGAAGTGGGCAATGTTTCCGGTTGGGATGTTCAGAACAAGTAGGGTTTCTATCTCCTTTTCTATTGTTTTCCCCCTTTTCAATCTCCCAAAGGTTCATTTCCCAAATTCGCTTTCTGGGAGATTTTTACTACCCTTTAGGAAAGTCCATTGCTTGAGTAAGTAACCATGATGGAGTTAAGAACAGCAGTCGCGGGTGAGAGGATGAAGATGGAGTTAGGGCATTTCCCTAATCCATTTGCGATTTAATTTTTAGGGGGGTTGGGTCTCGGGTCTGGGTTTAGGGTGAATTAATTGGGTTGGTTCTTGGGTTGGGCAAGTAAGGCTGAGTTGGCGGGTAAGGCTGAGTTGGCGGGTCGGGTCGGGTCGGGTCGTCTTTTTTTAATGTTTAAAAGTGCTGACTGTGTATTTCTGTTAGCCACGTCATCACTTAACGGCCGTCATTAACGGAGTCTAACGGAGATTAACGGAGAGTGACCGAACTTGGACTGTTGAACTAATTCGAGTGACTATAAATGGAATAAATCAATTCGGGTGGCAAACGTGAAATTTTTAAGCAATTCGGGTGACCAAACTTGCAATTAAGCCTTAAAAGATCGTATCGTTGGTTTTTAGAGGTTGAACTTATGAGTTGTGGTTTTAATCATACTGAACAGGCTGGATTTGAAAACATCTAATACTTCAAAACGACATCGTTTTGAGAGAAGTTAGCTAGAAAATATGAAAACTGTGGACAGCCCTCCTCTCTAACACAAGTCTAATTGACGCCAAATGTCACATTGGCCAACTGGTAAAACTCTCAAGAGACCCTCGACTAGGCAGTGTGAGGTACTGTGTTTGATCCACCTCAAGGCTAGTCGTGGTGTTCCCGGAGGCACCAAAAGGGATCTTAGTGGAGGGCCCAGTGGACTCAAGCTGGTGAACCCCAAGGTTTGGTCTCGTTCCGCCATCGCTCAAGCGGTGTGTGCGTGGTGATGTTCCCGAATTATAAAAAAGAAGTCTAATTAACATTTACTCCATCATTTTCTCTCCTCCTCTAAAGGGGCACTCAGCTCTCTCTAGCAAGCAGAGGTCGAGCCCTCTTTCTGACGGCAGGATAAGGGATAAAAGGTAACATTTTCACTTTAAAATTGGGTTTCGTGAGACTTAAGTTTAAGATTAATTAGTTAAATTGTTAATTTACTCTAAGCTATCCTATGGTGGGTTAGTATTTGACTCATAGCTATCCTATGTAATTCCGATATTTATCGATCGGTATGGTATTTTAATATAAATATATTATTTTAGTGATATGAAATGATTGAACCACGTAGTACCACAAAATATCATACCATAAACTAATCCGGTATGACATACAATTTTTCAATACTTGATATATTGTATTGAACTTTGCCAACACATTTTAATGACGATATTTGTGAGGATGAGAAATGATTAAGAAATGTCATTTTACTTGGGAAGTATAGTAACGGGGGAGTGTGGAACTAATAATGATAATTAGTAAATAGAAGATAAGATGTGGACTATTTTATGGTGGGGAGAAATTATTTTAAGGGGAGAATGGACGACACATTGGTTGGTTTAGGGTACTATCGTGATTTAGGTTCACGGCCACCATTCATATCATACCCTAGCTCTTTAGTTTTTGTTGGAAGGTTGGCTAAGTCGCATTTGAAGCCGCCTCAATATGAGGTTACTAGATTCAAACTTATAATTTTTAAGGCTTAATTACAAGTTTGGTCACTCGAATTGCTATAAAATTTCACGTTTGCCACTCAAATTAATTTATTCCATTTATAGTCACTCGAATTAGTTGAACAGTTCAAGTTCGGTCACTCTCCGTTAACCTCCGTTAACTTTGACTGACGTGGCGGTCAACTCTGACAGTTGACCGTTAAATCTGTGACGTGGCAAATAAAAAATAATTAAAAAATAAAAATTAAATTTTTAGAAATTACACATCATTATCACAAAAAATTATAATTATAAAAATTGAAAAAAATCAGCGATATTGATCGAATGGCAATCGTGTGGGCTTCCAACTGTAACGAAAGCTGGAAGTCCCTCCGCGGGCTGTGCAGGACGGAGCTTTTCTCTAGCAGAGCAATCGAGTCGCAGGCCGCCGTCAGGGAGAAGAAAGTTAGCGAAATGGTCGAATTCCTTGCCGCTAGAGAAGGGAAAGTGGTTGATATTGGGGAAATCGTGTTAACCACCATTTTCAACTCGTTGTGCAACCTTTTCTTCTCCGAGGACTTGTTGGGGTTGGAAGATAGTAAGGGGAAGGCTAGTGGGTTAAAGAATCATATTTGGAAATTGATGGAGCATGCAACTGCTCCGAATATTGCTGATTTTTACCCTGCTCTGGGACCCCTAGACCCTCAAGGCTTGAAGAAGAGGACGGTCAAGGTCGTCACCCAGATATTTTCCGTTTGGGAGATTTACATCAGGGAAAGAAGGGAAATTCATGAATCAAAACTGCACGGCGATACTCTGAAATGGGATTTCCTGGACGTTTTCCTTTCAAATGGTTTCCACGATCAGAAAATCAATTGGTTGTTCTTGGTAAGATTCAACTTCAGTCCAATGATTCCTTACTCTGCTTTTGGTAACTCTGTTTTTTTGTTTACTCTGTTTTACTTACTCTGTCTGGGAATTCCACATGAATTGCTGACGGCGGGAACAGAGACCACCACTACGACAGTGGAATGGGCAATGGCCGAGCTTCTGAAGAACGGAGAAGCAATGAGGAAACTTTACGAAGAGTGGAATAGAGATATTGGGGAGAACCCCATCATAGAAGCGAATGCTTCCCGGCTGACATTTCTCAACGCCTCCATAAAAGAGACATTCAGGTTACATACAACGCTGGCGTCGTTGCAGTCGACAGCGAAGTCGTCTCTGTACCGGCCTGCGAGCGGGCAGTAGACGTTGAGGGTTTTGGCGAGGGAACCCTTGAGGCTCTCGGTAAGCAGCGAGCGCTGTTGCGTAGAAGAAGAAGTGTTGGGGTAGAAGAGGCAGAGCGGGACATAGCAATGCGGTGCGGTTTGATCGAGAATGGTGAGGTTGTGGGTTCGGAGGTGGAAATACAGATAAATGTGTTTGCCGGCCAATTCGGTGACGTTGGAAGTCCGATCTGGAAACAGAGTGGTCGGAGCGGCAGTTCAAGTTTTTGTGATAATTTTTTTTTCATTTTTTATAATTATAATTTTTTGTGATAATGATGTGTAATTTTTAAAAATTTTATTTTTATTTTTTAATTATTTTTTATTTGCCACGTCACACATTTAACGGTCAACTGTCAGAGTTGACCGCCACGTCAGTCAAAGTTAACGGAGGTTAACGGAGAGTGACCGAACTTGAACTGTTCAACTAATTCGAGTGACTATAAATGGAATAAATTAATTTGAGTGGCAAACGTGAAATTTTATAGCAATTCGAGTGACCAAACTTGCAATTAAGCCTAATTTTTAAGTTCACCATCTCGAGTTTAAACCATCTTAATTGCAACCTTATTCTTAAGTTGGTTGATTCTTCTTGAGCAAGCCAAAAATTACGAATCTATCTTAACTTGGGAAATGAGGAAGATAGTAGTGAAGGAGCATGAAACTAATAATACTTATGCAATTAGAAGAAGAGAACAGGAGGTGTTTTGGGCGTTTCAAAAATCTTTCCGTTGTCCTCGAATTTGTTTGCGTCTAAAATGAAAGATGTGGTCTACCAAAATTATAAGTTAGAAAGAGGCGAGCTGAATGAATATTTGACGGTGTAAACTATTCGAAAAAATCAAGTAATTTAAGAATTATGAGTGTTATTTTGATTCATTTTGATATTTTGATTGTGGAGTAATGTGATTATATTTGGTTTTATATTGCTATCATGCATGACTTCGAGAGCCATTTGCAATATTATGGATGAACGTTTTATCAGATAAGTTTGATATGATCTTTCTAGATAATTTAATCAATTTTATGGTTATGTTGAATTCGTGATTAATTCTAAGTATTTAGGTCTATTATTTTTTTTTCGATTTTTTTGTTATTTTCCTTGCAAACTTATTTGCATTGAGTTAAATAATTTAAATGAAATCCTATCGGTAATATCATATTAGCTCTTCATATAATTCATTGTATTTTCTATGATCTTTCATTGAGCTTAGAGTTTAGACCCATGAGTGGATCAATCCGGTAGAAAAAGTAGTGGGTTAGTCTCCTCCATTCCAATCATTTCTGCATTATGCACTTTCCCTTTTTAAATTCCTGATCATGAGGCACAAGGAATGCATCATTATCATATCATCTTTAAAGTGCAGCCTTCATGATGTTTTTACAGCAGCAGTGTGTCACCAAAAAACAAATAAAAGAAATTGGATGATATGTGACAATTGATGGAATTATATATCATATAATTATTAAACAAATGAAATTATTTTAATATAGACTAAACTATAAACATTAGGAAAATGGGGCATCCCCACACATTGAGCAAGCAGGTAAGGAAATTCAAAAGCGGGGATAAATTTCAAAGTTGACCACCCAATGTCCATCCACACAAGCACTTAATATATATTAATATATAATATTTAATTTATTTAATTGATATGATGATGATGGTGATATGCAAATGCTTGATTTCGTTCCTTTTATTAGTTTTATGGGGTTTTCTTTTTTTTTGAGAGCACAATTCCTTCAAATCAACGTTAATGGGATTGGTCAACCAGGCATAGCATCTGAAGCAACATATATATTATTTAGGGATTTCCTATGGTAACTTGAAGTAAGGTAACTTTAATTTTTTTACCTGCTATAGCAGGTTTCACAGGTCGTATTACGTAAAACACAATAGGCATTACGTAATGGTTACGTAACATTTGATAATCTTACGTAACAGTTGTAAAAGGTCATTACGGAAGCCTTACGTAATAGAATGTGTCCTTACGTAATGAGTATTAACCTCGCGTTACGTAAAATGCAAAGTCATTACGGAAGTCTTACGTAACGCTACTGAATTAACGGTTACGTAAGAAATAAATGTCGTTTCGTAACCTTTACGTAATGGAAGGTCTTTTTACGTAATGAGTATTAACCTTGCGTTACGTAAAGTGTTAAGTCATTACGGAAGCCTTACGTAACGCTTCCGATTTAACTATTACGTAAGAAATAACTATCATTCCGTAACCTTTACGTAGTGAATGTGTATTTTACGTAACAGTTGTAAAATATCATTACGGAAGCCTTACGTAATAGAAGGTCTCTTTACGTAATGAGTATTAACGTCGTGTTACGTAAAAAGCTAAGTTATTACGGAAGCCTTACGTAACCATTCTAATTCAATAAGAATTAAAAAAGGAAAGATTAAAATATGGAAAGACAACTAAATGTGAAAAAAAGGAAAGAAAAAATTAAAAAAAGGTAACTTGGACATGTATGACCGGCAACTCATGTTGCCATTTATTTATTTAGTTATTTTTTTATTTTTTATTTCTTTAATCAATGGTTTAAAATAAGTGTGGTCAATTTTAACGGTTTAGATCTATGCAAGTTACCTAACTTGAAATTATACCCAAGTTACTGTAGGAAATCCCATATTATTTATCAGCAAGGTGGTGGTGATGAAAAGAAGCACTATTGATAAAATTAGTGTATATGACATATGTATGAATTACATTATGTGGCGAGAATAAAGACAAGTACGAGTCTAATTTATTTGTGAGAGAGCCTACACTGCTTTCATTATGGTACCCATCTATATTATATATGTCGTGACTGTTTTCATGGATTGGGTATTTGGAGGATCGACAGAGCAAGAAGATGAAAGCAAGAAACGAAACAAGATATACAGATTTACGTGATTCACTAATACGATATGTGTTAGTTAGTCTACGGGCAGGAGAGAGCCAGTTTCACTATACTTTGAGGAGTATGAGAAGTATTTATAGTACTTCTCTATGTGGTCTAATCCTAATCCAATATGGTAAAGAATAAGGTTACAAACCAGGCGCAGAACATAAACCTAAACGTGTATATGCCCATAATGTCATTAAGTTTGATGCCAAACATTTGGTTGCTTCCCATGGAGCGCTATTTCTTGTACGCCTTTGAGCTAGGCTCGTCTTAGCTCCTTTTAGTTGATATCTTGATCAAGCTCCAAGTCATCATCTTCCCCTCATCCCGTTGCAATATAATTATTGGTTCATTGTGGGTGCCATGTGGTAGATAACGATTGATGAAATTGATTTATAATCCTATAATGCATAGGATCGTATACCACATGATTTTCGAATGCATAACTATTCACACCATTATCGTATATGCTACAAGAAATAGACAAGCATTTTTAGGGATTTTCACTCAATCGACAAGAAAAGAAAAGTAAGGAAAGGTAAAGTTTTTTAGGAGGTTTTCAAATGATACTTTATTTCATAAGAAGGTAAATCTCAAGTAACATCAAGCATACTAAAGTTCAATCATATCATGTATCAATCACTCATCTATAACATCACTCTATCCCTTCTACTAAGACCACTCTCTACCCGTGCATGTGCCTCTTGCGATAGAGATTTAACTAGCTAATGTGTGCTTCTGCTTCATGCCATTACCTAATTAATGAAGAACAATAAAGTTAGGATAGTATATGATTAAATATGGGCCTCTACAAGCCATAATCCATGCTCTATAACATTGATGATATACCAATCAAACATTGATACTACTCGAGGTATAGATGGTTGATCATTCCCTCTATAATGGTATAACATCAATGGGGTATTACTAGAGTATAATTTCTTAACAACCTAGATGATACTAACCACAATGCAGATAGTAGCACCATTCCCTCTATACTCTTATACAATCAGCGGGGTTATAGTAGAGAGTGATTTCTTAACAACCTAGATGATACTAAGTAAAATTCAAATAGTATCTCACTATAGAATCAAAAGCATTGATGATGAGAAAGTATTCATACTAGATAAACAACAATGATCATCACATAGGCATCAAAATCAAAGCATCCATGCATACATAACAAGCATCGAAATTCATAAGCATTAACACAAGGATCACATGAAATCATATCATTGATACATACAAATATAAATGAGTTCACTTCCTCATACAATCAATTCGAACTAGATATACATAGAAAATAAGGAGGGTACCACAATCGATGATGAAAGCATCTCTCTAGTTGCACCCTCTCCTAGGAATGCTAAGCTCTCATTCGAGTAGAGTGTTTAGAGAAGTTTAGTGAATTTGTGCAGTCTACTGAATTAGTGACTCTAGCCTTCTATTTATAGGGGTAGAACTTGACCAAAACCCTCCTAAACTTACTAGGGCAAGGTTTCTTTGATTTGGGCCAAGGCCATGGCCTAAAGACCTTTGTTTGGACTTGGGCCTATTGGAATTTTTCTAAAGATACAATTCACCCTTTGAAAACTTTTGAAAATGGGAGACTCCTTTTGCACAGTAAAAAGTCTTTGACTAGAACAAACAATATAAAATTCAAACACATCAAATGGTCACTATACCTCATTGACTTTCGCATCCTTCATATCCACTACACTATCCTCCCTAGATCAAGTGATGATTACTAGATTCATTCATTCAAAGTAAGATGAGTAGTTAACATGCTTGTAAGGGATGCCTAAAGTCATTAGATGAACAACATCTTTGGTTCTTTCAAAATTGTGTAAGCTCATATCATAACCATTTCAAATTTCAAATTTGGAACGACTAATCATGTAGAAATGATTAAGACTATAAAGGTAAAGCATATCAATCATTCCCACCCCACACTTTAAAATGGACATTGTCCTGGACTAAAAGATAGTGAGTCGTGGTAAGGTTTGAAAAGTTACCTTGATTTTCATTCTAATTCCAAACTCATAGTTAATAGTAGCTAGTTCTCCATGATTGTTTGAAAAGACT